AAGGTGGGGAAAGGAAGGTGTGGTGGGGTAGGCTGTGGGTTTGGATGGCTGTGGGGGGTGGCTGCCTTTCTGCCGCTGATCAGTTGATCGGTGGCCGGTAGGCAGAATTGTGTTTTTGTTTTGTTTTGTTTAATGATGAAGGATGAATAAAAATGGGAAAATATTTGTTGAGCCATATTCATTGATCCATATTCGTCCCGACTTATAATAATTTGTTCGGACTTAAAATTTGACAAATACAAATTGATGAATATTTGGCAAACCAGCTATTTTCGTTAAAAAAAGCCCATCCATTTTTAATTTCATCCCCATCTCTAATTAGGACCAAACCCAGAAGGAAATTTAGAATTTCAGCTAGAAAACCAAATGGGAAGTGCAAAAGGAAAGCCCACCATGGAAAAAAGAGGATCTATGAAGAGGAAAGAAAACCTTAATAACAAAGATGGATAAAATGAACCTCCAAGAAACTCATATGAAAAGAATAGAGTAGCATCAGATGTAAAAGAATCTACAAACAAATATAGAAATTAAAATTAGACACTATAGTATGAAAATCAAGAACCACTTTATGAAATGTTTTTTGTAATAAGCATTGGAAATGTAAAATACAGGAGGGTACTTTCACCCATATTGGGTGGATTGGTAGGGAAGCAGAAAATTATTGGAGATTATTGTAGATTAGTATATGAAATATTGAAATGCTGGGGGGAATTGTATTTTGTGAGATATCATTTAAACTGGAATTATGTTAATTAAGTCTTACGTGTAAGATTTGATAATACACGTAAATTATGAAACATTTGATAATATACATAAGTACTGTAGCTATAATATGGGAAACATTGGAAGAAAACAGAAACATGGTTATCTTTAAAAGGACGCAAAAATTTACAATGTTTTTATAGCTGGACTAGAAATATGGACTGGAAAGCATAGATAAAAGAAGAATGAAAAGGTCCACTCAGGGAATGAAGAGATTAGTAATTATAGCAATTCTGGTGAAACCTGTTAAGTTGTTCTTTTTTGTAATTTTTAAAATTATACTAGAATTGTATAAGTAGATGTAAAAGCACCGTCGTGCTATCTGGAATTTTACCCTTCCCCTATCCATGTCCACTCCCCCAGCCCGAAAGCCTATCCCTATTGAAAATGAATAAAAATTAAATCATAAAAAAAAAGATTGTGTGAAATTGTCCCTTTGGTGAACAAAACTAAGCAGTCAAGATTGCATACCTCATATATATTTCTAGAACATGTTTGAATTTGGAAAATATTGCAAATTGAGATGTTGTCCTTGCAAGCTATAGTGTGACCCAGCAGGCCAGGCTAAACTGGGTGAGGGACTTTCCTGAAACTTAGGAGATGATAGAGTTTGGAGGATGAGCATGCTGCTACACTGCAGTTTATCCCACAGTTTGTGCTGGAGATGGTACAGTTAATGATGTATTTTCCATAAATCACATGATGATCATACAAGTATGTACAGTAATCTCAAGTAAGCCTAGTCCTCTCTTTTTTTTAATGGGCATTTGTTGCTTTTTGTTCAGCCAGTTGGGGGCCAGTGTTTCATGTGTGTTTTGCTAATAATTCTGCTTTTTTCAGTTTGTGGAATGTGGATTGCTTATATTAGTCCAAAGAGGCAGGCAAATGGACTAAGTGATGTCGATAGTTACATCTCAGCGGAGTGCAATATGCCAGTACAGCAAGAATATCCCCCTCAAATGAGCATCTCTTTCCCCCTTCTGAACAATTTTTTCTTTTTAAAAATAGTGTGTGTCAGTTTTAGAGGTATATCAGATAAGCACGAAAGTTTCGCAAACTATTATATCAGTTCAATACTATTTATTTGCTAATTTTTAAAAACGAGTTGGGGAATCATCTTCAGTGGAGTACAATATGTTTAGCACAGCAGGAGCACTCCCTCAACTCGTGTCTTTCTTTGGAACAATTTTTTTAAATCATGCCCATCTAATTTTGGGCTATGACAGATAAGCACTGTAGCTTCACAAACTGTTGTCTCAATTCAGTACTGTACCATGTCACTTGAAATTCTTTTTTTAAAAAAACATTTGGGGAAGAGGATGGTATTACTGAAAGAGAAGGGTGAGTGGCATGTGATCCTGGAGAGATCTCTAGTGATTTTTAGTCTGGTGTGGACTCTTGCACCCATAATTGCCCATGACAATTAAACATTCCATATGAACAGCAATAGCACTTTGATTGTCATAGAGAACGTTGAATAAACCTGAATTAACAAGGGATATTCCCCATCTACTGTAGTTGCATCTCAATTTCTTAAAAAAGTATTTAGAAAGCTTTCATTTATGAGATGATCTAGGTTTTTTCATTTTTTAAAAAGTGACAAAGATAATTATGTTAAATGTACAAACTGCT